TGTGATAATCACTCTTCTTTCAATTGTAAACATATTACACCGGTTATTGGCGTTTTATTAAGCATTTCGCATATAACTTTATTGAATTAAGATATATTGCGAATCAAACGCTCCCCCTTTAACAAATTTCCTTAAGATTTTAAATCGTCTAATTTTATCTATGGCCTATTGTTATACACGAAAAGACACTTTTCACACAAGTTATGGTTTACTTAAACAATAATTTGTCGAGCAGCTACATTATAAAAACGTTATTTATATAATTATTTTATCAATGCCCGTCCTTTTGTGTAATTAATTACTTTTTAACGGTTATTTTACTTTGAACTGTTCATAGATTTGTTAAAGAAGTTCTGAAATAAATTATTAATCTTTGATTACAAAACTCAAAAAAATAATCGACGCATTAATTTGAGAATAACATAACGTACATACCTTATCTTGTTAACATAACAATTGTTAACAGTTTTTAGACAAGCCTTTATATAATACATTTCAAAATGGTCACGTACTTTTTAAAAACAAAAAGATGTCGTTGTTGCATAATTCTAAGTTGATGGTATATATACATTTATACAATGAGGTGTAATTGAGCGCTGTATAATTGAATATTTATTGTTTTAAAGTCTCTTAAAATGGCTTTCAACTTAACTATCGGGGTTAATGGCGAATTCTGGACACTGTTTCCCTGTCAAAATGTTCTCTTTTTTCTTTCTTTCTTTCTTTTTTCAAAAGTTCATTAAAGCATTTCTATATGCACACTAGCCCAAATTCTGTTTATTGAATTAGAATTTTAATGTAACGCTCCGTAGTAAGTTTCTATAATATAAATTATCTGTGGAGGAGCTTAATAATTGTGTTAATTTTGTATTAAATAAACATTATAAAAAATTATTCATTCGTTCTATCATTTGTTTATTTTTTCATTGGTTCGTACGTTCTTTCATTCATTCACAACCAATCAATCATTCTTTTATTCACATTCATTCATTCATTCATTCACATTCAATCATTCATATTCATTCATATTCATACATTCACATACATACATTCATTCATACATTCACATTCATTCATTCACTCACTCACTCACTCATTCACTTTCTTTCATTCATTCACATTCATTCGTTCATTCATTGTTACATTTATATCTATCTTTTAAAAAGCTGGTATTTAGATACCGGGTGAAATTAAGAAATTTAACGCAAAATTTAAATATAACAAAAAAAATGTGAACTTTCTTTGATTTTTAAGAGTGTCGACAAAAGGTGAAAACAAGCAGGTGCAACGTTCTAATCAACACGGATAGGGTATGTTGTTTAGTTATACCAAACTGTCCTCTTTCCAACTCACCTTTATTATGTCTACAGCAGTCCAATATATTTTATCTCGTAGAAATTACATATTAAACACGCCTGTTAATGCATATATGTATTTCATGTTTTATTAGAGGGAAAATTTAACCAGAAATATGAGTATTAGTCTATGAACGGACCGGACCTATCATTTCCCTACAAGAAGAATAAATTTCCAAGTGTTTCTATTTTGTCCCCGGTCATTTTTAATATTATATATATTATTATAAACGATTATTTATGTGCATATCATATTATCCCTAAAAAGATTGGTTTGATACGTTTGCCTAATTTGTTTTCAATACTGTTTATTTTAGGTTTTAATCCGGCATCCGTTAAAGATCATGAAAGCGTTAAGATTGATAGCTTAAATAAACAAAAATATCAAAAACCGGCTTACGACACTGACTGGGGTAACAATATTTCTTCTTGTCTTGAGTCGAACTTCCCCTTCTTTTGTATTGTATTCAAGATTTGACGTTTTCACCCAAGCCCCGAAAAACAACATAACGTCTAGATATGTCTGTATGTTTCAAAAAAGACAAAATCTTTTGTAAACAAAATACTATCCCATTGAAAATCTGATTGTCGTCGTGATGCTTTTGAAAGTCAACTGGATGGGAAAAAAACGTTAATAATGATGAACTATAAAATATGGTAGGACTGTTAAAGGTCATATCTGACGTACATGTATATCAAGGACTGTTAAAGGTCATATGTGACGTACATGTATATTAAAAAAAACCTAAAAGGGTCAATATGATAATATATTTGAAGACTTTGTTTTTAACAATATGATTAATTTCTTCTGTAAGCTATTGTCGTGTCATCAATACAGATATTTATGTAAAACTTGTTAATAAGAACGACATTGACAAAATTTATAGTCTTAAAGTATTGTTGAAGCCACCGAAAAAAAAGACTTTCTGAGAAAAATAACGTCTCGGGCCAGCCATTAATGCACGTAAGATTAAGCCTGCCAACCTACCTATTACCGACCTCTATGGTCTGTTCAGGCATACCGTTATAAGGTCCGAACTATTTTAAAGTCGGTTGTGGGCGAAAAGAAAAGCTTTTGTATATTAAAGGGACTCCCTCTTCCGTTAGATGAAGGTCTAGACCAATAACTGGCGTGCAAATTTTTATATTATTCGCTCAAATTTTTACAGAATAATAATTCTTATTTTGAAAAATGTCCCGAAATTGAAAAGCGTTGCAACGCTTTTCGCTCAAGTCGGGCTAAGAATAGCACAAAAATACGAATTCTGATTGATTTCAGTATGTATGTCTTAATTATCTTTTGCATATCTTTCTGTTATCTATGTAAAAATTTCAAATTTTGTGCATTTATGCTTTTGGACCTCAGTGGAGTTCCTTTAATACTCTGTGCAAGGATTCTAACGTTCTACGGTTTACACGGTCAACAATTTAATCATCGTTTCCTTGAATATTGAGGCTTCAAATGTACATGACAATATGATCACGGTAGATACATTAGAATTATCTTTATTCTTTGCGTGTCATCAAGTAATCAAACAAAGTGATTTCACTATCACGTAGCTTCAACGCCCGTGTAATCAATAACAACCTATCGTTATAAATTCCCGTTTCAAATACACAATAAATCAGCTTGCCCCGGGGGTCGGGTTGTCACTGATAAAAGTACAAAATATCTAATGTAAGAAAAAAAAATGTTTTGAAAGATAGGCTGTAAATCACCAAGTGAAAACGTACAAATTTCAAGATACTGATCAGTGTGTGAGGCGAAATGTATTTTGATAGAGTTATCACTGAATAGTTTCGCATTGCAATGCGAGTTTTGCGCTCGGGGCAGGGTCGATAACGCACTGGAGATGCGGCTTACCTGAGATGAAGGCATATGAGCATTCAATGCACGAACAAAGACATTTTATCAATTTTTGATCCTGTTTTCATTAATTTTCTGCGGCACATCACACTAATATGCCGTCCCGTTTGATCTTCTTTTGTTTATGACGTTTTTATTTGAACGAAACAAGATATTTCTTCGATTACAGCTGAGATACAAAAAAATACTATTGTAAAATTTTGTATTTATAAGTATTAAAATAAATTTTGATGATATTATCAGAAATATGAATGTTTGATTTATTACTTAAATTAAGACGGTAGCCTTTGATTTATAGTACAAATTGTTTAAGACAACAAATATTTTCGCCTCAGATTAAGTCCCAGTGTTTTGATTGTTTACAAGCGGTAGCTTATCACAGTTTAGTGTCAACTATGATATTTCTTTAAGTCAACTTAATTACTCGGTCTTCTCAATATTGGCTGACGTTTTGAGCCATGACATCTCACACTATATGTACATATTCCAATATTCTTGAATTCGGCAAAACGTATGTTGTTTTCTTATGAAAAGCGGACATAAATAACTCGGATATTTCATTTTTTGTTAAAAACAATATCACAATTTCAAACAAAAAATGACGCAAGGAAAAAAAGTCCAAAAAAAATCTCAAATTAAAAAACAGAGACTTACATACTATATATTATACATGTATGAAAAATATCGCTCTGTGTCTCAAATAAATAAATAATCGATATTTCATTTTATTTATTTTTTCTTATAAATTATTTTTTATTAATTCTAAAATATTATTTTACACAATGCATTACCATCTAAAAATTAAGAAATGTATTAAATAAAGACATCATGTCTTTCCCAATCTGAAGCTAATAGGAACGAAGATTTTTTGTTTCCAATATTTCGTATTAGAATGAAATATTTGAATCAATGTTATAATTTTGTTCAAAACCTCAGTTTCTCGGTCTTAGATGGGCAATTTTTAACGTGAGATAATAATTTTATAAGTTTAAATAATGATGAATAATGTATATGACTGGTAATACCAAATTTTAATTTTGTATGTTTGTATTTTCACTCTTGTTGTATTTAATGTATGCTGTATATTTGTGTAATGACGAGGAACTGTTATGTTCAAGTCATGTTGAATAATAAAATCTGTTCTGTTCCGTTTAAAAGTAGCACTTGTAATTGCTAAATTAATTAAGAAATTAGTATTACAAGAAAATAAACGTATAATAGTTCTAATATTATTATAGTGGTTTGTGATTTTTTTTAATTAAACTGTTATCTGGTCGCAACATTTTGAATATTTCTTCCTATTTGAAATACAGTTTTATACACATCTGACTATCTACGTACAACCATATAAATCTATAACATTATAATGTAAATATATGTTTAAAGGTCCAGCTGTAGGCAAATTTCAAATATATATTTTTTCTTTTTTTTCTGTTCTTGAATCACTATTACGCATGTGTGTCAAATATCTAAATATCTCGCAAAAATGACATAAAAAAAAACAAAAGACTGTCACAATTTTGTGGAATGTTATGTTAACCGTTATATTTCCATATAATACCTAAGGTATGATCACCCGATGACAGAATCATCTCTAAAATCCTCCCAAAGGTTTTAACGTTTCGCTACGCCTCTTTTCCTATAACCTGCCTCCAGCCAGTTTCTCTAATTCTCCAACGACTACTCGCGTGCGACTGTAACTCCGCCCACCTGCGCAAAGCGTGAATAAATTAACGACCGGACGTCCAATTGGATATTCCGTTTGTCTATACAACTAAAGAAAACAGTAATGACAACTCGGGATTTTCTGTACATTACACATTATTCATGTATAAGACTGAATTGAGATTATTACCAGTTGTGTTGTACATTGAATTCGGATATATTTTTCTGTGTGTTTTTTTTTTATTATTCCTATATTGGCTCTGTTTGATTTTAATATTGTTTTTACCTGTCTTTAACTTTCTGCCACGATTGCACCTCCAATTTCCGACGACATGACGGCGGATAACCAACCGCCACCGCCGGCACCGACAAGTAAGATATTTTATATGTAAAACCTTTTTATTAAGATATAAACATATATTGAAAAATTACTACTAAATTCCCGTTACAGTATTCAAATGACACTCTACAATTCGCAATATTTCTTGATACCAAATGTATTTTATAACTGCTGAATGCGTTATATATTATAGAATCATAGTATATATATTTGTTTCAAGGACATGCGACGCTGGTACATGATTTCGGTATAGTTAATATATATGTACTTTAATATACCCATCTATATATGGCAAATATAAATATAAAGCAAACATACAATTAAATGAAATATAGACAAGACTTAATAACGTACTAATGTTTAAACACTTAACGTTTTTATTTCTACATGATGATGTAATAAATCAATACAAAGCACTGATTAATTAAAGCTGGAGTGTATTTTTATTACATGTAATAGAAATTATATTCTTTAATGTATATTAAAAAAGTTAGACTAAATACTATTTTTACATTTGATCGCCCTGATAAAATGAAATCCTGTTTCTTTGTAGTTTAATTTTAATTGTTCACATTTTTATATATAATCTTAATTTATACCGTATATCTATACCATCAGATTCTTTCGTCAAAATCTGAGTTATACATGTATATATATTATGTATTGACCTAGTGACAACGCTTATTCGCTCATATGCATAAAACAAATATACCGTACCCAGATCAGACAGACAAATTTACAAACATCTTCAAAATAAATTTGAACAAATTTTAAAAGTACACATACTCCAGTCGACGAACCCTTTAAAGCGATGCCTGTATGGTTGTTTTCCTGGTTTTACGGCCTAACAGTACATTAAATACCCAGTTGATAAGTACATGTGCTTATCATATTTTTTTTAAAAATGTTGTTTAGGGTTGGGATTTCTTAAAATTTTCTTTTTAGTTGTTTTTAGGTTGTTTTTTTTTAATTTGCTGAATCTATATATTCGGGGAATTCATTTGATATAAATAGTGTTTTTGATATGCGATCCTAAGATCTGCTAGTTTTTTTCGCTCTTTATATATTATATATGTATATAAAATTCGAAATGTTTCGTTTGACAATGTATATTGGTTAAAGAAATAATTTATACGGAAACCGTTTGACAATAAACCAATATATGAATATATAATATATGATATATGTAATATTATGTGTTAATCTAAAACTGGGCATGACGTTTTCTTGTCAATACATATATAAGTTTTTCTTTCTTGCTTTTAATTTTAATGTTAAAACATAATGAGATTATTATATCTTCATTTAAATGTCTTTTTAAAAGCAAGGGTAAAAGCAAAACTATTTTTGATTAACAATATAGATAAAGAGGTAGATCATATATACAATATGATTATCACCACGGGAATGTTATATACATGTATCTTTAAATTCATATTTAATTTCGTACATGAAGTATGCTTGGATGCGGGGTTAGACTTTAACGGGATTCTAACAGCCGACAAACGCCTTTTTTCCATTGCAGGTATATTTCGAGTAAAAAAAAATATGTAGATAATCATCTTAATTAATTCAATATTATTACACCTTTAATCGCGTAACATGTTTGTGAAGGTACATTGTATTCTTATTCTTAACATTTTTTTTTGACTTCATTAATAATTTCGCAAGTATTTAAATTTTTAATCTTTGATAATTTTTTAGTAACATCTCATTGAAAAAAATCTGGCAGTCCATACGTGTTTTTATATGAAAGAATAATGTTTCCATCATTACTTGTAATCCGAATAGATATCCTGTAAAAGAGCGGTGCCGGTTTTTGAGCCGTACAGCTGTGTGAACGGTCAAGTTACAGACTTTATCCCTAGTTTGTTCATCAAACAGAAGTCAACTGCGAGTGACGGTGCGTGAAATCTTCCTGGCGTTACTCGTTAATATTTCATGTAGCAATTAATTAACTCAAATACCGTCTCAATCATACTTGATGTTTGTTTAATATTTACCTGGACTGTTGATTTTATTAAAAAGTCTGTGATTAAGCGTCGCGATGTTGAGAATAGTCTCGGGGTTGAAGTGTCATGGAATTGTTCAGATTTAAATAGCCCAGAGATTAATAATTACACCGATATCTATAGTGTAAACATAATTTCAAATGTATCAAATGCCAATTCGAATTTTAGAATATGTTAAAAATAAATTGGACAGGCAAATGTTGGAACAGTATTGTTTCTATTGTTTCTAATCATTATAAAAGAGTGATTCCAGAAGTATAAAATCACAAGGAATAAATAAATTATTATTTTTTATATGATTATTCGTGTGTGAAGTTGTATAATATGTATTCATGCATACTTTGTATATTGTTTTGTAAACAAATTGCATAAGATTTATACATTTAAGAAACAACAAACAAACAACACAAAACTAGAATGTGATGTGCAAGAATACTAAAACCAAAATTTATTAGCCAGAAAAAAACACCCCACAAATCTGCAATAATTTATTATAGAATCAATTGGATCAATGCTAAAGTGTGAAACTTCACTTATGTCATGTCCTGCTGGAGCTGCGTGTTTTTTGTCAACAAACAATAAGTTCGTTTGCATATTAATTGTTATATTAATTGTTTAATTTTAAGGGCTTTGAAAATAATGATATCAGAAAACAATCAAAAAACAACATTCATTAAACTTATCAGATTACAATTTTAAACACACTACATATGTAAATATGATTAATTCAAAATTCTGAAATAAAAATACACTGCTCTGGATTATAATTACATAAAACCATGTTTACTTAGCGCATATCCATGTCGTTTGCTTCGATTTTTCGTGTCGTCTGCTTCAATTTCATTATAATTGCACATCGTAACGGCTAATATTCAGGATTGATTTTATTTGCAAAAGATATTTCCCACGGAGTTCAAGAGTTTGAATGTTGATTCCATCAAAGTGATCGATATTTAATGGCAATGAACACTTTTCTGTTCGGAAGAACCGCGGTATCTCAGGCCCGCACGTGCTCATGTGCACTGTAGTGATTCAACAAGCGTTTGTATGACGAGAAAATATGATCAACAATAATAGAGCATTCATCCCTTATCTTTTGTCAGCGTGCATTTCTAATAAAAAGACAAAGAAGAGACAAATTTGTCATAATTTTATGTTCATCTAATTTCACAATATTAATAAGAAATATCAAAATAATCAATTAGCCATTATTCAATGAAGCGCCGATGAACTACTGTCTCAAGTATGATGTAGAAATTATTCCAAGTTGTGATTAAATAATATGATACATGTACGATAAATGGAAAGTTGATAATATCCGGGTAATTTTCCGGGCACAAAGTCACGTGGCTTTATCATGTTTTATCATTCTCGTCATCATGTTAATTCAGCTATCATGTCTCATAATCAACATGTAATAATTTCATCGTTATGTTTTGAAATTATCATGTTATCACTGCTATAATTTAGTTCGATCATGTTATATCATGATATCATTGTCATGTTATATCATCATATCATTATCGTCATGTTTCATCATCGTCTTAATTGATTATCAGTACATATCTTTTTACATAATACATTATATAATACTTTGAAATCAAACAACATTTTAGCATCATGGTGGTGCTTCTACATAAACTATGATTATTCAATTTCGTCCAGCATCGGTTACATGTTTTCAATATCATAACAAGTAATCATAAGCAAAATAGAAAAGAAAAAGAAAGAAAAAAAACACAAATAAATAAGTCAATTAATTCTAAACAGTAAAAGGCAATGTCAAGAAGCCCTTCGTTTCGTTTATATTTGTTCTTTAATAGATCTATATTTACATACATTTCAGAACGCCGTCGGGTGTCTATGTGCGTGGGATGTGGGTCTCAAATCCACGACCAGTTTATACTCCGGGTAGCCCCAGATTTAGAGTGGCACGCCTCGTGCCTGAAATGTGCAGACTGCAACCAGTATCTGGACGAGTCATGCACGTGTTTCGTGAGAGATGGAAAAACGTATTGTAAACGAGACTATTCGAGGTGAGTTGTTCTTTTATTTTTTAATTTTTTCTGATAGTACTATCATTATACGAGGAGAAGAAAACAGCAGTGTCTATTCTAGGACGGGGGATGGGGGATTCACTCATATTTTTGAAAATCCCCCTCTCTCTATTTTATCAGAGGCCGGGGAAAACTTTACATAGAGTAAAAAAGGGAAAAATATCAACAAATGTAATGCAATGTAAATTCTCACTTTTCGATAAAAAAAATCCCTTCCCCCCTGTTTTTCGAATCCTCGAATAAACAATGAAACAGACCCGATATTTTTTTCGTAACTTATACAAAACAGTATCTCGTTACATCACACATATCAAGAACAATGAATAGCTAAGTTCTATGTATATTATAATGTACAAATTGAATTTCTATTTATCTATTTGTCCCTCGTTTTATCGATATGTTATTCTATAATCGTTGTAAATCATATTTTTCTATCCACTATTCGATGTTTTATAGTTACAATTTACGGCTCGTCCTCTTTACCTGACAACTGTCGGCTTATTTTAATTAGATTAATAATAAGTCAATTAAATATTGTGATAGGAATCATTACATCAAACGCACCGAAACGCCGATCAAAGAAATTTTGATAGATTTACTGGAAAACTTAAATAAGGTGTTGATTAAACTTTGGAATTGAACACTCTTTTAAGCATCATGTTTGGTCGATATTAACCGGCAGTTTTTTTTCGATTTTAATCGGAAACGTAATTCGGATTTGAAGTCCTATCGGTTTATCTGTGTAGTTTGAAAAACGAGAGGAGAGCGATTAGTAACATCCGACTGATGGCTTAATTTGTGGTCGTTTCGATGATCTTGTTAAATTGAGCTTTTTGTAATTTAAGTAAAAACGGGATAAAGATGTGCCTGATGCGGTAACATATTGTATCATGTTGTTAATCATGACACGCCATCTTGTCAGCTCTCTATCATACACCTCCATAATAACAACAACAACAACAACAACATCAATAACAACATTAACAACAACAGCGACAAACAGTTGCATATATCTGAATTATAATGAGTGCAAACTAATAAAGTAAAATGCGATTTTGTTTAACAAAGATATAAAAAATTGAGGACAAAACTTGATAAAAACAAAAATATATTTTTGAATTTAATATTGTTTAAAATACATCCTTTTACTCGACCAGCCCCTGATACGCATATTGGAACATATTACATTTATCCTTCCAGGATGTTTAAAAAATCAATTTGTTGATTACATATTATAGATAAAAAAAACATGTTCTTATTTAAAAGTTATATTTAGCCGTTATTCTGTATATACACGAGCATGTGATTCGCATGTTTGTGTATACATGCGCCAGTTTGATGACATGATTTAGAATAATCGGGAAAAACAGTATATTACAGAATAAATAAACAACAATAAGAATCAATTTACACTTAAACAGATTATAAATATTACTTTTAAAGGGAACTTTTCTCGTTATAATATATTTGACCTCAACAGATCATTTGTATCTTATTTTTTAGATTATTCGGACAAAAATGTGCAAAGTGTGACCAAAGTTTTCTGAAAAACGATTTTGTGATGCGTGCTAAGGACAATGCGTATCATATAGACTGTTTCCGGTGTGTGGCTTGCAGCCGACAACTTATTCCCGGGGACGAGTTCGCACTCAGAGAGGACGGACTATTTTGTAAGGCGGATCATGACGTTGTTGAACGCGCTTCAATCAAGGACGAAAATAGTGATTGTGAAAGTAGTCCGTCTACTAAAAGTGTCAACAGCATAAATAATAACAACAATAACAACAACAATAATAATAACCTCGATAAAACGAAAAGCAACATTCTTAACAATAACATCATCAAATGTGAAAAAGGAATTTCAAGTGGTAAGTTAGGAGTTATTTTGTTATCATCAGTAACACGTCCAGTACATTTATTTTACAATTGTATACCAAATCTTGTTAATGTAAAAGTGAGGCCCCTTGTTTTTGTAGCATTGCCGCAATTAATATAGTAGGTGTACACATCTCCTTTTGCTTTAGCAAATAGGTGATAAATCAAGCAGGCATGTAGCGATACATACATAAAGAGGCCCCTGTTTTTGAGATGATTTTCGTTGGATAAGGAATGCAGCAAAGGTCCTGAAAAACAAGAATATCTAATAAAATGATAAATTCTCTTTCATTTATATTTAAAGACACAACTTTCAACTTGTTAGTGAAGTTAAGTGGTAAACTTTCAAGTGGGCAATGGCTGTACTAAATGCCGTACATTTTTCTACCCGTCCTAATTCACCACGGTGTAAATATGGTGTTCTTACGTCTACGCGACAATCGCCAATTTAAAGACGATTATGGAGTATTTATCTCAAATCCCCGTGTTTACACACGGATGGCCTTTCCACTGTGCCTCGCTTGTACCCAGTTTGTCGCAAAAATGATAAAATTCCGGTAGGTAATGATACAAACATGGCCCTTTTCCCGAGTTTAAACTGCGACAACATTCATAAATTGCTGTGGTCATCGGAACCAGTGATAACGGGTTTTGTAACATAAAAATATCTCACATTTTCAACCCTCATCATAGCCTGAATCATTTGCAACTTCCTGTTTTGATATTCATTTGCAAATATATAGGGTTTTTTGTATATTATATTACGCGGAAATAATCAAAACGTATTGATATATCTTTCAAAGTATGAAATTTAAATGGAACATATAGCTTAACGTAATCGGAATGATTGTAATTAAACGTACTTTTCAAATTTCATCAGACTCGTGTTTAAGATAAATAAATACACATAAAATTTCTACTCATGTGCTCGTATCAGGTAGAAACCATTAAATTAATACAGCCATGATTATATGACCCATTTAAAGTGAACATTATCACTTTTAAATCCATTTTTATCATTTGCCGAGATAATTATTACAACTTTTTCCACATAAATTACCTTCTGACAACTTATCAACAATTTGGCAGCCGACTTTTTATCGGCTGACGCATTTACTGCAAAAATAATAGCAATGACAAGAGTGTGGACCTTTTTCACTGATTTACAGTCGTCAGCTTACATGATGAAGCTATGAAAGACGTGTTTTCGTAAAACAAAACATATATCTTCGAAAAGAGGTATTGTACATTTCTTTAGGAAACAATATTACAAAAAACTTGAAAACACAACCAAAACAGTTGATATTTTAAGGCATGATTGATGCATTTACATGACCTTACTTATTTCCAAGTCATTTTGATGAATGTCGTCTGTTTCTTACATTTAGCGCGTGACAGATTGGCGCGAGATCCTAGTTTGTCCGTTGTTGTCTGTCAAAATGAAATATAACGCTAAAACGAGTCATAGGTTGTAAGAATGAATAAAAGTTGGTTACCTTATGAAGTATAACTGTTGGACACATTCCCGAATTTCATAGAAAACTAATTTTTCTTTCTCTCTCTCTCTTCTTCTTCCTCTATCTACAAAAATAAAGAAATGACAAAGTGTTGTATATCATGGCCTCAGACGACATTTACCTATTTGTGTGATGAAATGGGACAAGAATAATTTAAGAGTCATTTGTAAGTATATATAATAATGACGGAAGATTTATTTAATAAATATTTTGATTTATTCACACATCCATAGAAGTTTACAGTTACTTTGTAACAGAAAAAAAAATATATTCTCTGCCTATTTTCCTTTGGTTAGCTTTATTTTTATTTATTTTTTCTTTAAAAAAATTGGCAAAATTTCAAAAACGTTCTCAAATATCAGTTAGTTGCAATTTTACTGTTATAAAAATAAAAAGGATATCGCATAGAATACATTCACATTCATGCGTTCTGTGCATTTTAAATATAACATTTATTCTTGATCTTGTATGATATATGACCAACATAGTGTCATCCAAAAGTAAATCGTAAAAACTTATATAATATGTATTTGAAACGTTGAATTTTCAGAACTGATACTATTGAATTGATAGTAAATTACGTAAAACCACTAAAGAGCTACTTAACTGATCTTACCCGTGATTTATACGACAAATATTAAACAGTTGAATCAAGTTACTGTACCGCCCTTATTTTTGTTAAACCAACTTGTTCAATTTTTCCTCAAGGACCGGTGTACAAACTCTTAATCAATTTTGGAATGCACTCAAGCAAAGAAAAGAACACTGAGAAATGGCGGAGCGTCAAATCTGATCTGGATTTGCGCAAATTTTACAGCCTCTGAATCTGATGCGTTTTTTGCGATTATTAAAATGTCACGTGAAATATGTTTAAAAATACGTGTATGATAGATTCAGACTACCGCGTTCCTTATCACTTAAGACATAATTAGAAATACTTTACTGTTTTTATAGATAGAATTAGATACTAAAACGGATCCAACACTTCTGCAAAGCGATAAAGTACATAAAACAATGTAGGAACGCAACATGTAGCAAATTACGGGGGATCAAAAGAGCTCAACATTTCATTATTTTTGTATAATAAGGCAAGTTGGATCTATCGTCTGCTGCAAACAACAGATCGAAACCTACCGTAATCGCACATACAATGAACCGTTTGGATTTTTGATGAAATATAAATGAAGGCGCGTGGATAATCATTCCATCTTTGTCTAAGGTCAATAATTAATTATTTACAAGAGTTAATTGAAATAAACAGACATCAACTGTCGTCTGCTCTCATGGGGTCCACGTGAGCGTTCCCGGGGGAGAGGAGATACGAAACGCCTCATAAAGTGACATGGATGTTTAAACGCGCTCGCGCTGATAGCGTTTTGTACATCATGAACTTGGCGATCAAAATTATGAATATTGTATAGGAAAATTGTCAGGAGCACCTTAGAAACTGAAGTTATCGCATTTCGTAATAATTTTCTCAAACCTGTGGACAAATTTTATGTTTTTAGTCCTGATTGAAGTTTTTGAAATAATACCCTTGGATGCTGTTGTTGTAATATTTTATTTAGTCTTGCTTTAAAATAACTCGATAAAACTGCACGCGATTTCACCCTATGACTCGACCATTAAAAAAAATATAAAAAATAAATTAATGAAAATAGTATTCGTTTCTGCGTTTTCTAACCTTTAGAAGGTAAAGTTTCTTTAGCGTCAATATATCCAATAACTTCTTAACTGTAATCTTAATTTTATAAGTGACAAAGTGTACAGTAAATATTATATAAATGGTGAATTTCAGAAAAGAAAAAAAGATATAAAAGACACGCAACAGATGCATTTTCTTGTCACTTTTTGGAGTAAAAAAAATCAAATCAAAAAGTGGGAAAAAAGCTGATATTAAATATTAACATAAACAGAAGCTTTTGCCGACCATTTCATATAGACATAGCATTAAATCAATTTCAATTCAGTCTTAATCCATGTTGATTTCCCCAGTTTTATTTGAGAAGAGAAATTCCGTCTAGAACATGATCCGATTCTCAAATATTTACATTTAGTGAAGGAAACCTGAAAACACAGAACATACCCTCAGTTCAAACGTTTGTACAAATATTTAACTGTTACTTAACAATAATCTAAGCTAACCAAATTTCACGTTTTCTCTTGAGATAGATTTTTTCCCAGAGTTGTGTTAGGATTGGACTTCGAAATATTTTGTATACTGATATAAACTATCTAGTTTGCTGACGGAAGACCGGTTGTTCTAGTTCTTCTCAGGATCTTGTCCGTGCTTGAAAAAAATTACATTAAAAGAGACAGTCTGATGTATATCTTCACAAGTAAAAATAGAAAATCGACAAAAAGACGACAGTAAAAGAGTCGTTGTGACTTATAATCCAAATATACAATAAAACTCTCGTGCATTCGCGTTGCATACGAGACTTGTAAACATCTTAGCTCTTTATGCTGTCCTTTGCAAACAATCAATTTTCAATATTTATGAATCTGAGCATTAAAAACTGATGACAACAGGTTCGAACCTCCAACCTTCTAGTATTATGATTGTATCCCAAAGTGACTTTAATCAATTTTCGATATTTTAAAATAGTTGATGCAATACTGCTTTAAGATCATGAAGATTTGAATACATGGTTAACTCTTTCATATAATTTTCAAAAACAGATTTCCCGCTTAAAACACACCGTTTGTTATGTGACGTAGACAACTACGATCATATCGACTTCTCGCATACCCTTATAAAATCTTTTGTCTTTTACACGTCTGTTCTGCTCTCTTTTTTATTATCTTCTGATCTTTCAACTGCTCACGTGACATCTGGTTATCAGACGATAATGTTACCCAATACATCACACATGTTTTATTCGATACTAATATATTATGTATCGATAAAAAAAATCATTCCCTAACTTTAATATATCGTTTTGAACGAAGTTCAAAAGGAATAAGACTTGAATTTAATTTAAAAGAGGACCTTCAATTTTTTTCATATAGTATGAATTAAAGATGAATATATCTCGTGGTGCGTGTCTCGCATCACTGGTGCATGTCTCTATATTAATATTGAATCACAGTTGAATCAAACGTAATCTTATATTTATGAATTATTGCAAAATACTGTATTGTCAATGTACGCATCGGTAAATTCCACGCTACACAAATTATGTCCCTTTATTAGTTTGCTTGGGAATCTGACACACTTTCAGTGCCTCAGCAAAATATATATTTTTTACCAGCCGCTTAGCCAGGTAGAACGCTATACTCTGAGTCAGGCGACCCGGGTTCGAATCCCTGACGTTGGAGGTCACTATTTTGTGATTGATTATAAAATCCTCTCTACGGTCATTTTTCTTACTGTACCTCTGCTATGGCATGTACAGAAGTAAGATCAGTTCAAATTGCAAAAGTGACGGCTTTAGTACTGGTAAATTGCATAACAGCCTGCCTAGGAACGATGCGGTGGCTGACCTGTGCTCTGATGAATTCAAAGTGGCTTACGACCATCACCTTATCATTTTTACTCAAGATTAAGATGAAAATGTTATACATCAATACGATCTTTATTTATTCGAAATTAAACGATGTCTTTTTGTATATTTCACAAGTCTTGGCATTGGTATAATCTACAAAATAACATGTTCTGTATTATGTAATAAAATTCTAGCATTGACTTGCTTTAGACATGGCCAGTCTTGGTTTATATATATTCCACACTAGCCCAATCTTTGTATATATGACTTCACTTCTTTCTTAATGTATTGCATAAAAATTGAAAAAGAAATCATCCGAAAACAATTTTTTTTATAAATGATAGCGAACAATATTGTATACAGATACTGTCTTTGTGTATTTCAGAACGGCGAGACCACAGTCATGGTAAAAATGGTGTTAAAAAGGACCACAAACCTACCCGAGTGCGTACAGTGCTTAATGAGAAGCAGCTTCACACGTTGCGCACGTGCTATAACGCGAACCCAAGACCGGACGCTCTTATGAAAGAACAATTAGTTGAAATGACAAACCTTAGCCCACGTGTTATACGGGTTTGGTTTCAAAACAAGCGTTGCAAAGACAAGAAAAGAAGCATCTTAATGAAACAGATGCAACAACAACAACAGGAAAAGGTAATTGCGTGCTCTTTTTCCTACATAAAACGTATTATTTATTAGGATGATTCTTGATTTCTTAGGCTATACATGTATACACACAGAAGACAAGGGTATTGAAGATTCATTTAAGTAAAATAGTGAAAATGTTTTATATTAATAGATCTGTTACGTCACAATTACATGAAATTTCTCGGCCGCAGAGGATTTAGGCAATGTCGTGAAGTCTCCCTCTCAGTTAAATATATTCACTTATTTTACATTCTAAATATAGCTTTAAGAGCATAAGTCTCAGTTCTTCAATTAAATATTCATCTCAGAAACAAAAACAAAACAAACAAAACAACAACCACAAACAAAACTATCTGTCTTACCCGACAGTAATTGGTCAGCCGAAAGAAAACTCACTTGAAAATCTGGTTAATATTTAATAAACTATTTTTTTTGCGCTCGGAACAACTCATCACATATCTGATTGAGTCTGTGGTGCTCAATTTGCCCCACCGAGGGGTTCCGAATGTAGCGTTTATTGTGATACATTTGTACATTCTTTACTTCTTGGACATGTCAAAAAGCGACGCCATACATCAGATTGTTTTGAAGATCAGTGAAAACCGTACCATAGTTGCCATGAAATTGCACCTTTTACTTTTAAAATTTGTTTGCCAACATCATATGGCTTTCTCGTATTAAACGCACTTGCTTCACTTATTCTTCATGACGTCATAATCTGGCAAATATGCATGTAATTGTCACACATGCCCATTGTACACATAAAACTGAAAGTAATCTGAATGTTCGAAGAAGTGAAACTTCGAGTAAAACAATAAATGGAATTTTATTGCGCATACTTAGTGATAAATTATGGGGACACGTTGTCGTTTCATTAAATTATTCCGTCGAGTTATTTGTACCTTTGGGTGGCCGAATAGGTGACGGCTTTTAAAGCAAATAATTACAAGACATGCTAGGACTTTTAGAATTTTCTCGGAAATGAATAAGACTGCGCAAGTTTTTACCTGAATAACATTGCATTTCATTGTCAATTTAGGCGGGGGCGCATCAATGTGAACGTTTACGTCTTTGAGGAAAAAAACATAATTCATATACCCCCAACGTAGAAAAACATACACGATATGAGTAGTTGGCAGATATTATTGGAAAAAGCTCACAGGAAGCCGGGTCTGTTTATATATAGATATCAAAAAATATACTTGAAGCGCACCGTCAGACGGATTTTAAATATCTTGTTATACTCATTCTTGACAGGTTCTAGATAAATATTTCATTCATATTGGTCACAGATGCGGCAGAGAAAATCTTGAAGATATTCACTCTTTTTTTCTGAACCCTTTCTAGTATTTTTTAATATATTTTCATGGGCCTACGGAACATTTTTATACTACCCATGATAGAACACAGATACTGTCTTTTGACAACTCGAATACTTTTTAAAATTGAGTTTTCGAACATAATTGCAGAAATAATGTTCAACTTTTTTTTAATGTGTTGCTTGCTTATATGAGTGTATGAAACCAAATGACAAAATGGAAATTTTTTCATCAGAACGTTTTGCAATCCGGAAATCTCAAGTGTAATTGATACCGGATGCAGCGTTTTTACCGTTTTTAAACAGGGAATTGCAGAAGTAAATTGCATTCTTGTAAATTATAAGACGAATATTGTCTGGGATAGACATAGATTATTTAGTCCATACACAGAGGGGCGTGTCACTACCATTATTATGAATAATGGAATTATGCAAATTATATTTCTTTTTTTTTTTTTTTACTTTTTTTGCACATGTCTTAATACGATTGCATTAATTTTTGAGGATTTTTTTTTATCTTTTAAGCTTTTGTTTATAAAAAAAGCATTGTCAGCTCATCGTTATTCTGTGTTTACTGGTAACAAAATAGTCGTGATTTGGATAATTATATGTACATTTATTTGACAATAAGCTATGAAAGAACGAAGTAAGTCATGGAACATATATTTTTTTCATGTAATCAAACTAGCTGACAGATAGATAAAAAGTTTAACCCCTTATTACATGTACATACTGTTTAATAAGTGAAAAATTAATTTCACGTGATGCGCGTGTTTATTTCGCACGAGGAGTCTGTCTTGATTTATCACAATAAAAATGGTGCTTAAATATTTCTTAATTATCTCGAGTATAATTTTCATTTCGAAAATAATTATACTTAAATTAAACATAATTGCCACCGAGAGAGTGTGTCTTTTACGGGGTTTGCCTCAAGCCGGAAATTCTTCTCCGCAAAAATTACACCCATGAAGAAGTTTCATATGGAGACAAGTAAAAATTGTTGTAAATTATCAAAATTACTATGAATTACTGATAATCCATGTCCGGCCATTTTTAGATTCGTCATAATACCACTTCTTGAAGGCATTTGAGAATGTCTTAAAGCGACACGAGATAAGATTTGGTTCCTGAGAAGTCGAACAAATATTTCAAAGTAATAGCTTTTATGCCTTTGTATTTAGCCCTAACTTAAAGATATTAAGTGATGCCATGTATACTTCATTTTACTCATATTAAAGTGGATTGGTCTACAATGGGCATATTTTAAATTAGTATTTCAAACAGTGTTAAAAATACATTTTTAGGTATATATCATTTGGATATTCATATTTAATAATGTTGACATAGTTAATATGTGATTTAGTATGAACATTTTACATGGTGAATAATTATACTTTTGTTGGAGAACAATTTATTATCTGCTAAATATATAAATATTATGTAATATCTGATCATGTATCGCATACTTACCAACAACATCCATATATGATTATTTCATGGTGTGTTGATATGTATAATAGTAAATACTAAATATAACCAACGTATATATTCATGGTATTACAACCCTTCCATTATAGACCAATTCACTTTAAAACAAGTATTGCAAAGACCTTCCTTTATGAACCAATTCACTTTAAAACATAGTATGTGGCACCAGACTATCATGATCTGTAAATAGAAATCGATTTAAGTTTTATTACATTGTATTTGTAACCGTTAAAAAAAAACTTTTTACTTATATCACAACTTTCTAGTTAAGTTTTTTAAGAACATTTCGGATGCGTGTCCGTGACATGACGGCATTTATACAAACCGGGCAAAAAGGAGTGAGACTAAAAAAAGGATTGGAGCACCACACTAAATACCGTATTCCGGTTCATACCGGACAAGGCGCTTGAATGATAAAATGCTAAAAGCTTGCCTTTTAACCCAACGGAATGAACTTAAACAGGTCTAATTCATCTTTTCACGCCGAATTAAGTACGATAATGAAGGAAAAATGTAAAAATCGGCGAAAAAAACGATATTTGTCTATTATGTGATCATGATTTCTGCAAGCGTCTAGAGGTACTGCTCCAATCCTGTATTGAGCTAAATCCGGCAAAAAGGGCTGTGACTGAAAAAAGGATTGGAGCACCACACTAAATACCGTATTCCGGTTTATACCGGACAAGGCGCTTGAATGATAAAATGCTAAAATCTTGTCTTTTTACCCAACGGAATGAACTTTAACAGGTCTAATTCATCTTTTCACACCAAATCAAGTACGATAATCAAGGAAAAATGTAAAATTCGGCGAAAAAAACGATATTTGTCTATTTTGTGATCATGATTTCTGCAAGCGTCTAGAGGTACTGCTCCAATCCTGTATTGAGCTAAATCCGGCAAAAAGTCTAGATATTCGTTTGCTAAATACTTGCGTCAAAAATCGAGCTTTCTGGGAAGGAAGAGTTTGAGGCTGAGATTATATTGCGTGTTCTGAGAATTGCGTGACATAAACACGCTTCCCTATCTAAACGCACCCTAATTATTGTTACTGCATCTTTAATGAAATAGTCGCACGGCCCTAACCAGTGTTTAGAGCACAAATTTGTAGGGTCGCGTGAGTTTTAGCGGCAAAAACGCGGTATAAACAGGGCATCATGCCTCTGATTAAGCCTTATGTTTATGGTAATAATAAGATTTATTTGAGTTACTGTCATGTCAAGTTTTCTTCGTGAGTGGGCCCGGGATTGTTCCACGAAAATTTTCAATTTTCTTCAAGCAGAATGATATTTTCTATACTTGACTTAATTTTTTAAGAGATAATTGAGCCTTCCTGATCTGGCGTTAGGTTTAAAATTACCTTTCCGAATTCTGTTTATAATTAATAATTTCATTTTTTTCCCAAACTAATTATATTTGGCAAGCGGTCACTGAGAGAAAAAATATAAAAGCGTTTTGCTGGGAGGCAAAACATTGAAGGAGGCCGAATTGTAATGACTGTATTCAACCCAAATGATTAAAAACAACTTAAAATAGTTATGAAAATTACGAGCCTTGGTAGTTACCATTCATTGGGGGTACACTTGTTCGCTAACCAAAAATTAATTCAATGCATTTCACCAGAAGCAATATTTCTACTTCATTTAAACCTCGGTTGATCTAATTCGTTACTTCGCAATTCTATTAATATTGACATAATTAAATTTGCACAGGTCATTTGTGTGATAAAAAGATTTAATGTTAAACATAAAAATTACGTAGGGGATGTTTGCTGTTCGGTTTTACTGCTGCCTTGTGGCCTTGTAGCTTTGTTCAATTGTTGCTTTCACTATTTTGTTTACTTTGACGTCTCGTCTTAAAGATTTGTCAACTTGATTTTTTACAAACCGAACAAAAATGTCAATGTGCAGCATAATTATCTAAAGGAATCTGCGGGCCCCGAATATTTTTTAAAACAAATAATAACGGGTAGAAACATCATTTGCCAAAAAAATGTATAAAAAATAATTAAAAGCTAGCATTTAATATTTATTTTTAAAAATGACTTTTCATGCAAAAACTGTATAAGAATATGGGATGTCTTTACATTTCTTGCAGTGCAAACGTTCCGTTTTTCTCCGTTTCTACAGAAAAAATAAAACAAGTTGGTTTCTTAGAAGTTCATTAATTAGACAAATATTCACCTCTGCGAGCACACTAGCGA